CGGGAGACGGGAGGCCCGGGCCCGGCGCAGGATGCCGTACGCCAACCAGCCCACGGTGCGCATCACCGAGCTCACGGACGAGAACGTCAAGTTCATCATCGAGAACACGGACCTCGCGTGAGCCCCGGCCGCGGCCGCGGGGGGCTGCGGAGCCCGGGACGGCCCGGGGGCAGGGAGCTGGGCAGGGAGCAGAAAGCGGGGCAGGAGCTTGGGCTGGGAGCAGCAGGCCAGGAGGTGGGATGAGAGCAGGAGCCAGCAGGGCAAGGGCCCGGGGGTCAGGATCACTTGTGGTCACACCACACGGCTTCCCAAGCAGCCCCAGAGCCCAGCTTTGAGCTTTTCCCCCTAAGCAGCCCCCGGGTGTTTCCAGGTGAAGCTCTGACCCAGGCATTGGCTGCTAGCGGGGCAGCAGCTTTAAGAGGAGGGTCTTGGGAAACGGCATCGTTGGGGCCCGGGCAGAGCTGCGCAGACCCAGGCGGCCACGGAGCAGCAAGCAAACAGAGAGTCGTCAGCTGCATGTATTTGGGGCAAGCCTGTGCCTGGCTCCCTTGGTAGACGCTGTGTGTCGCAGTGGGGTTGTGACTACCTTGGTGCTGATCTCGCCTGCAGATGTAGCTCAGGTTCACGGCACTTTGGTGCAGTTTTGCCTGCCCATCTCCCACAGGCAGGTGCCAGCACTCATTGTCTAAATGCCGGTTTTCTTCTTTGTTTCAGGGTGGCGAATTCCATCCGAAGGGTGTTCATAGCCGAAGTCCCCATAATCGGTATTTCCCCTCTAAGTGTTCTGTTGCGCGGTCATGAAGACGGTTCTTTAGGCTCAAACTCTTGCCGGTCACTGCTGCTGTGGTTCCTGGTTGTCCGTTCTCCCTGCTATAAACTCCCCTCTCCCTATTTCATCTGAGAACAGGCATCTGAATACATCACAAGTGTGCCCCAGCTACTGCTGTTTAGTTAGTGCTGCTAGATTTAGCACACAGAGCTTTTTGGGGGCCTCTGAAGCCATCATTACAGGAGTAACTGCACCATGAGCTGAGTGGGTTATTTCACTACAGTTCTTTGATTGCTTCTTTCCTTTTTCTCCTGGTTTACAGCCATTGACTGGGTCCAAATAGATGCCAACTCCTCTGTGCTCCATGATGAGTTCATTGCGCACCGGCTGGGTGAGTGCCTCTTAACCTAAAGGGAATTCATCAATCTTCCTGGCCCACAGGAATGATTCTAGAGCGTCCTCAGCCTGAGCACTCATGCGCTGCTGAGGGGATGCGAGCAAATTAACTCATGCTCATTTCTTTTTCTGATCTGTGATATGACCTGTGTGATGAGCAGAGATCCGGGTTTTCCGTTCCCCATGGAAAAACTGAGAAAACCGTGCATTCCCTAATTTTATTGGAGAAAACGTGGATTTCTCTTTTTAGCACAGAAATCTGCAGATTCTCCGCTTTTGGAAAGAGCTCTGGCAGGCTGGCATAGCTCCAGCCTGCAAGAGCCAATTGCAGAAAGGGCGGGAAATGCCCAGTCCTGCCCAGAGTGGGAGGGAGAGGGGGGAGGGCAGGGCCTGAGCCTCTGAGGCAGCCAAGGCCAGGCTCAGGCTCACACTCGTCCTTCGCCCCTGGAGCATGGAGGTAAGTGGGGCTGTGGGGCAGGGCTGGGGAAGACGGCGCCACAGTCCCCAAGCCCCATTACCTCTAGGATCTAGGGGTGAAGGGCATGGCTCCACAGTGGCAGTGCTTGCCCGCAAAGCCCCCCCCACCCTGCATGCAGATGCCACCACGGAGCCGTGCAGCTGGTTGCGGGGCATGCTGCCGAATGCAAGCCCCCCATTTCACCCCCCGGCTGGGCGGCACATATGTGACCTGCACATGGTGGTTGCCAACACGCTGCTGCTGCACCCTGCGCCACTTGCCCACAAAGCCATTCAGGCGACCGTGGGATAGTAGCACAGGGTACAGTGGCAGAGTTGCGGTGGCAGCCTCCGTGTGCAAACCTCCTGTGTGGCCCACTGAGTGGCACCCCTGTCCTCACCCTGCGGCCCTGCTCCTGGGAGTAGGCACAGGGGCACGCTCCCTGACTTCTTGATCTATGCCCCCAGCCCCTTCCCCCTACACACACTTACCTGCTGGGGTGGGTGTCAGTGTCTGAGTCTGGGGGGCTGTTGTGAGGGGCATCAGGAGGGCTGTTGAGACTGGGGGGAGTGCGGGGCACCAGCAGCACTGGGAAGGGCTGTGGGGGGGCCTTTAATTTTTATCACAGGTTTTGGGTTTTTAATCAGAATTTGCAATTTTTAATCGGAGAAAACCAGGATCCCTGGTGATGAGACTCTGGGAGCCTTTCATCTCTGCTGTTCCCACTTGGAGTGTCAGGGTTCCTTTGGTAGTACTTATTTGAATGTTTCCCAACCTTTTCCAGCCCAAGGTATACTTACATTAATAAAAACTTTCTGCAGCACTTCTGCAGCACTTAACTTTCTGTTAAGGCATTCCCCATCCTCACCTGTTGTAGCTCATTGCCATGGCAAAATTCTGAGGCACACCTGTTCATTTCTGATGGCACACTTTTGTGCCATGGCACGCTGGTTGCGAAACGCTGACTTATTTTATAGCGTCTTTTGGGCTTTCCCTAATGGTCTTCTCTGTCTCACCAGGTCTGATCCCTCTCACCAGTGATGACATTGTGGATAAGATGCAATACTCCAGGGTGAGTTTAAGGATATTCCAAGCTCTCATTGACAGGAAGGTGGTGGGACACAGTGGCCTGATGGCAATACAGATTTGTGTTGGTAGAGTTTTGGTGTGGTTTTACCTAATAAAAAATCGTAAATTCTCTTATAAAAACCTCCAAATTCGCGACTAAAATGAAATGCCACTGCATTTATATCTCAGTTGAACACAATGTTTTATTCATATATTTACAATTTTAAATCAATTTGAAAGCCTACCAGTGCCTCAGTCACTATAGTAAAATAAGTTCTAAGTACCTATAAATTTTGGTATTTGATTTTGGGCTTTTTATCATGGAAAATCAGAGCTCCCCCTGACCCCTTAGCTCACTAGGATGCAGGTCCAAGCCCCTTGCTACCAACCCACAGCCCCCACCCCTGTTGGTGTCCCTCATTCCCCCCCCACAATCCCCTGGGCCCTGCTGGTGCCCCTCACTCACCATTCATAGTTCCCTGGCCCTGCTGGTACCCTTCGCTCTTCAACTATAGCACGCTGGGTCCTACTGCCACTTGTGGGGCACCCCCGCCCCGCCAGAGTGGCCCCCCAGCTGGGGCCAGGGACCTGGGTCTGCAGCCTTCTGCCCCAGCAGCAGTGCCCAAGGCCTGGTTGCCACCTGTGGGAGGCAGCAGCTGCTGTGCCCTGAGTGGGGATCCTGGTTCCGCCTTCTCCATGAGCGGCCCAGCCAGAGCAGAGCCCTCATGGCGGGGGCAGGTGTAGGCTGCCTGCTGCAGACTCGGGCAGGGCCAGGTCCCCACCACTGTGCACACTTACAGGTGAGCAGGGCGTGTGTGCAGGGTGGGCTGGGCTCCGGGTCCCTGCCCTGCTGCCTTCCTCCAAGGCCAACACAGCCCAGTGGGTGGGACCTGGCATGGAAGGGCCAGGCAGGGAAGCTTGTTGCTTCTGCTGTGAGGCCCATGCTGCCCTGGTGACGTGCCCCCTGCCCACCCTGGAGCAGCAAGGGGCACAACCTCATGCTGCTGCTCCAGGGAGGGCAGGGGGCACGTTGCTAGGGCAGCACAGGGCTTGCAGCAGCGACAGCAAGCTTCCCCACTCAATCCCTGCTCTGCCATGCCATGCCGGGTCCTGCCCACCAGGCTGTAGAGGGCCCAGGAGAGGTCAGCAGGGCGGAAAGCCCAAGCCTGCAGCGGGCACCCTGCCCTGCGCACAGATCTGGGGGGCACATGACCCCCCCACCCCATTCCCCCGGGAGCATGCACAATGGCGGGGGGA